GGTCAGTCTCAGCGATTTTGATGGCTCTGAAAGAAAATCTCAGGCCTCAGAACCCCAGTGAAAAAAACACGCTTCCACGCAAAAAACCTGAAACCCGCACGTAGCTACGACTGACCTGAGTCTATGGTGGGTAATTGAACGTAGTGAATAAGCTCTTATAAACAGCCATTAAATTCATAGTGGGGTGGGTGGAGTCAGCCATCTTTATTTTAATATTAGATGCAACCATTATTTTATGGGGGACTTGATGCATAATGAATGTATAAAGTTTGAACCTCTGTCCAGGCAAGGCTGAGACACATTTTGGGACAGACATGATTCCATAAGAAGAATGAATTCTGGCTATGAATGTGCCTGGGTTTCAATTATACATATCATACATACATATCTACAACACAAGATATTACAGACATGTTTATAATTTTACAAGCTGGGAATTGTTGAGAAATGACACAACTTGACTTTGACATATTTTATATACAAGCAGTTTAATGGATAACAGTAAAATACTGAACAAAACAATAGCATTTCCAAGCTAACCATTTACAGTGATTTGTGACATTCAGGATTATCCCATTCATTCTTTTGAACAAATACAATGTATAATATCAAATGTAATATGTGGTATACACAAATCCATAGAATATCTACAAGAAACTGCTACAATATCATTGTTTCAACTTCAACACGAAGGTCGAATGCTCAGTTACCATGGTTACTTGTCTGTTATTTCCCATGCTTTATAGTCATTGATTCTTGCATCCTTGATTCCACCCCATTCTGCTGATTTGTAAAAACCTGAAATATGAGTCAATGTTAACTTTTGTTAGCAGAACTTTAATTAATAGTTTGAATTCACATATTTCAAATTACACATTAAGTCACACACAAACTGTATCAAGCTTGAGCAAAGTAACTGGCTTCATAAGAAATGAATTCACATAGCATATTTCATATTCCACATTGCATATTTATAATACCCCTTACCCAGTTACATTTAGTCATTTACATTCCCACACAGCCATTTACATTCCCACACATCCATTTACATTTCCACATAACCACTTACATTTCCACATAGCCATTTACATCTCCACATAGCCATTCACATTTCCACATGGCCATTTACATTTCCACATAGCCATTTACATTTCCACATAGCCATTTACATCTCCACATAGCCACTTACATTTCCACACAGGCATTTATTTACATTTCCACACAGCCGTTTACATTTCCACATAGCCATTTATTTACATCTCCACATAACCATTTACATTTCTACATAGCCATTTATTTACATTTCCACATCGCCATTTACATTTCCACACAGCCATTTATTTACATCTCCACATAACCATTTACATTTCTACATAGCCATTTATTTACATTTCCACATAGCCATTTATTTAGATTTCCACATACCCGGTAACCATTTACATTTCCACATTTATTTACATTTCCACATAGCCATTCATTTACATTTCCACATAACCATTTACATTTCCACACAGCCATTCACATTTCCACATAGCCATTTACATTTCCACACAGCCATTTACATTTCCACATAGCCATTTACATTTCCGCATAGCCATTTACATTTCAACATATTCATTTGCATATCTGCATAACCATTTACATTTCCACATAGCATGTTTACATTTCTACATTCCATACCTTCTAAAATAGTTGGATGCTTCTTATGCATGTAATGTCTATATTCTGGAAGGAAATCGATACAAATAGAGTTATAGATGTCATGACTTTAACACTCAGCAATGAAATAGAGCATACATTACAATGACAAGGAACGCACATTGCACTGAGAGTACCGGTAGATGTCATCCTGCTCCAGATATCAATATCAAGACTCAATCAAATGATGCAGGTCTTGAGGTTTTGCGGGACTGGATAACATTCAAAGTTTGAAAGCATTAGCTATTTTTTAGAGTTCTATTTCAAAACATACACATACATATTGTGGCATAAATTACAATGACAAAAAATACACATAGCACACACACTGCAATGACACAGAACACAAATTACAATGACAAAGAATAAGCATTGAAATAACATAGTACATATATATTGCAATTACATGAAACACAAATTACAATGACAAATAACACACAATGCAAGTACATGGAACAAAAATTACATCGACACAGAACACACATGAAATGACATAAAACACACATTGAAAAAAAAGACCCATTATACCATAATTTTGTCAACGGTAGTTTCAAATGGCAAGCAACAAGCAGACAGACTCACCTTGATTAGTATTCATTTTATGAAAAACATAGTAAGCTCCAAAGAAAAATATACCTTCAATAACAAGAACAATCTTTACTCCTTTTTTGAATGCATTTGGCTTTATGTCAATCACCATGGCGAAGGGATATCACCTAGCAAGAAAACAAGAGAATATGTATTTAGATGCAGGTAGTTGTAGTAGTAGTCTTCATTGTAATTCTATCTGGTTTAGACACTGATTTAAAAAGTATAATAACATTTAAGGTTTCATAAATTAAAAAAACAAACATTGCAACAATAAAAAACAGTTCAAATGTAAATAAACGTAATTTAAAAGTAAATAAACAAAAATTGTATATACACTTACTATAATTGGTATTGAAATAAACAGAGAGAAACATTTATTACACAAAACAAAATATTAACTTGTTTGGTGCATTTTAGTGTGTTTTCCTGTGCTTAAATTAAAGTTTCTCCTCATCAGATGGTATTAGTATGATATTTGGTCCTCTGGTTAATTTTTTTCTATTCTCAACATGCAGTTTATATTTTAATAAAAAGTTTCTTCTCTGCTGTGTCTTCAAGACTACACACAAGATAGTTTTTAACTTGTAGATCTACCAGTA